CAGGTCTCTCTCTCTCACGTCTCCAGCTTGTCCAAAATGCTGCAGCTCGGCTACTAACTGGAACTCGCAGGTTTGAGCACATTACTCCAGTTCTGTCCTCCCTTCACTGGCTTCCTGTGCATGTCAGTTGACTTTAAGATTCTTCTGCTGACATTTAAGTGTGTTAATGGCCTTGCACCCTCATACCTCTCCGACCTCCTTCATCCTTATACTCCTTCTCGGGCCTTGAGATCATCAGACCAGCTGCTTTTGGCCGTACCAAAAACCAGGCTGAAGCTCAGAGGAGATTGGGCGTCGTCAGTCATGGGCCACAAACTCTGGAATAATCTGCCCATCAACATTCGACAGGCCACCTCAGTCTCTATTTTTAAATCTCTCCTCAAAACACATCTGTACTCATTGACATTTAACACAATGTGATCTCATTTGGTATTTCATTGTTGATTGTGTTCATCCATTTTGCTTTCACTCCCTGACTTTTAACGCAAGGTGATTTGATTTAGTATTTCATTGTTTCTCATTATATTTCATTTTTTTATGCGTTTATTCATTTTGCTGTAATATCTTATTAATATTTGATGCTGTGATCTTTTTTGGTAAGCACTTTGACAACAGTTACCGTTTTAAATAAATAAATGTGACTTGACTTGGCTTTAGAACCTTGCAAATACAGACCCTTTCCAAAAAATTAGAATATCATGGAAAAGTTGTTTAACTTCCATAATTCCATTCAAAAAGTTAATCTTTAATAGATGATAGATTCAGCGCCCACAATTTAAACAATTTCAAGTATTTATTTGATTCCAAAAAAGTTCAATCTGGTCCTCTGGACATTAAAAACAAAACAAACAAAAAAAACACAAAATGTAGAAACGTTTCGTCTCTCATCCGAAAGACTTACTCAGTTTGAGGTGCTGTATTCAGCTCAGTCTCTTAAATAGCACCTTCTCAGAATGGATCAACCAGTTTGCTGCTGACAACCAAAACCAGCTGCTCACATGGTCAAGAAGGACCATCAGCCTAACAATGGATCATTGGCACACTGATGGCTGTTTGCTATTCACAGGGGGCCGAGTGATACTAGCAATAACAGCATTGTACGAAGGGGACAGTTGAACACAGAGGCCTCCACCCGTTTAATGATGGCCTCCTTTACTCCTCTCTCAAACCATCGTTCCTCTCTGTCCAGGATGTGAACATCTTCATCCCTGAAAGAGTGACCGCTGGCCTGGAGATGAGTGTAGACTGCAGAATCCTGGCCTGATGATGTTGACCTTCTTTTGGCCAGTGGCTGTTTTGTTTCCCCGATGTAAGACTGATCACAGCCCTCCTTACACTGAACAGCATACACAATATTATTACATTAAAAAAAAACCCTATCATGAGAAAGTTATGACACTCCTTAGTGACGTAAACACTTATGAACCTCTGAAAAGAGATCCAGGAAGTGGTTACAAGAAGAAATTGATAGATTGCCTGAAAATTTTGGAGCAGGACAAGGCTATTGACCGTTTTCTGTACCACAGACTGTACCCAGGGGAGGCCACACCTAGTCTGTATGGTTTACCTAAAATCCACAAACAAGGTGTACCTTTAAGACCAATCGTTAGCATGATTAACTCTGTCACTTACGTTTCCAAATATCTGGCGTCAGTACTCATCCCTTTAGTTGGCAGCTCAGAACACCACATACAGAACACCATGGACTTTGTGGATAAGGTGAGGGATGTCATCATGGAGACTGATGAAACAATGGTCTCTTTTGATGTCACATCACTCTTTACGTGCATTCCTGTTGATGATGCAGTAGAGGTGGTCAGTTTAAAATTAAAATCAGACACCACTCTGAGCAGCAGGACCACACTTTCCACAGAACAACTGTGTCAACTCTTGAAACTGTGCCTGCAGTCAACCTACTTCACATATGGGGAGCAATATTATAGGCAGAAACATGGGTGTGCTATGGGGTCTCCAGTTTCTCCTATTGTTGCCAACCTGTACATGGAGGAAGTAGAAAAGAGAGCCTTGATGTCCTTTTCAGGGACACCACCAAGTCATTGGTTCAGGTATGTTGACGACGCCTGGGTTAAAATTAAATCTCAGGAAGTCCAACATTTTACTGACCACATCAACTCTGTGGATAAATACATCAAGTTCACACGAGAAGATGAAAAAAATGGCAAGTTGGCTTTCTTGGACTGTGAGGTCTCAGTCTCTGATAGAGGACATTTGCAAACTGAGGTGTACCGCAAACCCACACACACAGACCAGTATTTGCAGTTTGACTCCCATCACCCTTTGGAGCACAAGTTAGGAGTCATTAGGACTCTGTATCACAGAGCAGACAGCGTCCCCACTAGCTCAGGAGCCAGGCAGAAGGAGAAATCCCACACAAGACAGGCTCTAGAGCAATGTGGATATCCTAACTGGGCCTTCCTAAAAGCAGAGAAGAAACCCAAACAGGACTCCAGTCAGCCAACAGGTGAAAAGGAGGAACCCAGACCCAGACCAGTGGTCATTCCATATGTTGAGGGAGTATCAGAGAAACTGAGACGTTTATTTTCTAAACATAACGTCCCAGTGGCTTTTAAACCCCAAAATACATTACGGCAAAGACTGGTTCATCCCAAAGATCCAGTCCCCCGGCACAAACAGAGTAATGTTGTGTATGCTGTTCAGTGTCAGGAGGGCTGTGATCAGTCTTACATCGGGGAAACAAAACAGCCACTGGCCAAAAGGATGGCCCAGCACAGAAGATCAACATCATCAGGCCAGGACTCTGCGGTCTACACTCATCTCCAGGCCAGCGGTCACTCTTTCAGGGATGAAGATGTGCACATCCTGGATAGAGAGGAACGATGGTTTGAGAGAGGAGTAAAGGAGGCCATCTTTGTGAAAAGAAACCGTCCATCATTAAACAGGGGTGGAGGCCTCCGGGTTCAACTGTCCCCCTCTTACAATGCTGTGATTGCTAGTATCACTCAGCCCTCTGTGAATAGTACACAGCCATCAGTGTGCTAATGATCCATTGTTAGGCTGATGGTCCTTCTTGAGCATGTGATCAGCTGGTTTTGGTTGTCAGCAGCAAAACTGGTTGATCCACTCTGAGAAGGTGCTATTTAAGAGACTGAGCTGAAAACAGCACCTCAGACTGAAGAAGTCTCTCGGACGAGAGACGAAACGTTTCTACATTTTTTGTTGTTTTGGTTTTTTTTGTAATGTCCAGAGGACCAGATTTAACTTTTTTAGATTTTTCTACCTGGATTATTGAGCATGCATCAGAATACTTGAAATTGTTTAAATTGTGGGCCCTGAACCTATCTATTAAAGATTAACTTTTTGAATGGAATTATGGAAGTTAAACAACTTTTCCATGATATTCAAATTATTTGGAAAGGATCTGTATATATTATACACACACACACCTCTGTGCCACCACTCCATTACAATGATCAGTTACCTTTTAAATTTGTTGATCTTGTTGCATTGAATCAAATGCAATAAACAGAACCCAAAACGCAAACCAAACTCAGAACCCCACCCCCACCCAAATATAAACATATACACTTTAAATTTATGAACTCATTGGCAGGCTGTAAGTAGCCCATGGGCAACAATTTTTATATAAATAAAATAACGCTCCCTGGGAGTGGTGGCGTAGAGGCTAGAGGGTGGGCCTGTGATTGGAGGGTCGTTGGTCAACCCCAGCTCAACTCCCCAGACAGACATCAAAATATGGGTGGAGAAGGTGAAATGCCCACACCTGCCTCCACCCTCATTTGCCCCTCCCTGGGCCCATGACCACTCCCCCCCCCCCCCCCCCCCCCCAGCTGTTACATGGGCACCCTAGATGGCAGCTTACTGCCTTATATGCATGCTCACATGTGCAATGCAAAAAACGCAGAGAATTAATTTCTCCATAGGAGATTAATAGAGTACAATAAAATAAAAAATATCCAAAATCAACATTCAAGCTGGATGGAACTCTCACTGCAGCCACCAGTCTACATTATCTACCCCGAATGCACTGCAGCATCAATAAAATGGCAATGTCTGTGTCAGGTTTTTTTAATGCACAAAAACTAAACCAACAGTATTTTTACCGTCTCGTTTTTGGAGCTGAAGTAATTGTTTCACATGTTTATCGTTCCAACTAGTCTTTTTAAGCATGCAGAGTTGTTAAACTCCACCCACTTGGAACAAAGGACAGGACGCTCCGATCTGATATATGGCATAGTTTACTTCACATTTTCATTACAGAGTAAATCTCATTTCTAACACAGGTACTGGACAGCTTCTTAACACCGATACATGAGGCTGCATTAGCTAGTGGATACTGCATAGACACACACATACAAATACACACACACACACACACACACGCACGCACACACTAAATTTTTTACTACAAAGTTCAACGTGCTGCGACTGCAGTGCAGCTACAGAATGCGATCATGTATTAGAAATGTCTTAAGCTTCACCTGTTCTCTCTCTCTCTCTCTCTCTCTCTCTCACACACACACACACACACACGCACGCACACACAGATTCTGTCCCTGTAGTTGTAATGGACATCTGGGTGTCTCACATCCTGTCCTCACAGCTTCACTGCTCATTTGGACGAGTTACAAAGCTGTTGATCTAAGAACTGAAACGTTTCCTGTAGTGGTTTGACTGGGGGGGTTCTTTTTCGTCATGTTGCGTGCAGGAACAGCAGGAATGTGGAAAAACAGAGTCCTCCCTGAAGAGCTGTGAATAAACAAGCATGTGTGTGCACCTCATGAGACACCTACACACCTGCTCAGTCATTACCAGATCAAAGTTCCAATTTTACAACAGGACAGCAGCGATGAGGACACACGAGCACACACGCACGCACGCACGCACACATACACACACAAACAAACACCTGGAGCTACGAAAGAAGCAGCAGATGGAACCAGTTTGGATCTGCTTTGTTTCCATCTCTGTGTTTAGTGTCAGGTCGGTGCCGTCCTCCTCCTACCTGTGCGGCGTGGATTAGATGGACAGCAGGAAGTGAACCACCATATTTACATGGACAACAAGAAGCTGACTGAACCCGAGCGTCACTCACTACAGGCCCTCATAACGGGGAGGGAACCCAAGATTTAAGTGCATTTTCATCAGGAATGTTTGAGGACCCCTAAACTAGTTGGTCTCATCACGGGAGGGTCCTGTGGGGGTGGGGGGTTGGAGTGGGGTAGTGTGCACCTTTAACGGCTTCTCCCATTTGACTTCAAGGAATGTTCAACAAATTTAACCTCGCACTCAGAAATTACATCAGGATGAGAGCCCAGCGCAACCACAGGAGACACACACACACACACACACACCTGGTACACAGGTTAACCAACAAAACAAGATTGTAGCATGGTGTTAATAAACAAGTAGAAGATGAACTGGAATCAGAAGGAGGAGGACAATAATATCGCCGCTGCTGCTGGCAGCAGCTGGTTTTTCCCTTCTGAAGTTAAACCTCAATTATTTTCTTTATTTGTTGTTGGAGGGAGGAGGGGAGGTACGGAGGACAGATTGCTGGTAGGGATGGTGGGAGAACTGGTCATTAGGTCTGGACTCTAGAACTGCTGGGCCAACAGCTCGCAGAGACGCCTGGACACGGAGTCTTTGCTGCAGCGCAGAGTCAGACGATACATCTGCAAAGGAGGAAGAAACGGAGTGAAAACAGGAACACCCAAAGCTTTGTGACGAGCGGTGATGAGAGCATCTACATGGAGCTGGACCTACTGGTCCTGGGCTGGGTGAGTGGCTCAGCCACACATTTAGTTATTAACAATCCACCTTTACAAAAATAGACACTTTTTCATTTTGGCAAATGCTGTAAAAACATGGAGTGAAGGCTCTTTAAGGCAGTTAGCTTAGCATAAAAACTGGAAGCAAAGGGAAACTGCTAGCCTTACTTGGTGCTCAAACAAATCAGTGTAAGCAAAACAAATGTTTCTACAGGACACCAGAAATCACATCATGACTTCTGATACAGAAAAGAACTTGTCACATAAAAATGCAGATGAGTTAAAACGGTTCACAAATGTACAAAAAATAATAATCACGGAAACGTCAAATTGGTTTTTCTTCCAATTTTCTTCTAACTTACTGCAGAAAAACAGGCAGAGCTGTAAATTAACCAACAAATCTTTAAATACCCCCAAAATATGTGAATACTGCTATATGTGAATACAAAGTTACAAGTGTGAATACAATTTATGAACTTTATCAACAAAAAACAATATATTTTAAATGGGACTGAAACAAATGCATGAAACTTTGATTCAGAGGAAGTAAATATAAACATATATACAGTACATATACATAGGAGTACAACTAAAATAAAATAAAAACAAGCTTGTATCAAAACGGAATGAATGCATGAGTGGAATGGAATAAAAACATTTAATACCAACAAAAACAAAAAGTTTCTATAAAAACAGAAGTGGTCATCATGGTCCTGTAATAACCAGCACCTGTTTGTTATCAGGAGTTCTACAGGTTCTGTGTTTTGGATAGTTCTGTGTTACAGATGCTGTGAGATCAGTGAAGGCCACAATCCTGCATGTTTTACACATTTCTCTGCTTCAACACAGCCCATGTGAACTAGAGCTGCCATTTCTAACCTGAACCTGGCCCCGCACGACCCGGATTAGGGCCGGATCATAATTATGTGTGGGCCGGTGTCGGGCTTTTGATTGCATCAGCGGACGCACGCAGCTGACTATTCAGTTATGTGGTAACATGGCTTGCCATACTATCACTAGCCACATACGGCCATTTCACCGCGAGCTGCCCAGCCTCGAAAGAGATCAAAAGTTCAGTTAAGCTTCAGATGGATACAGCCAGTGATTCATCAGCCCAAATGGACATTCATTCAACTGCTGCACTCAGGGGACACGCGTGGCTGACAACCCAAACAGGTGAGATCACAAAATATCAGACATGTCAGAGCAGGGTCCATGTCTGAATAATACAGAATGCAGGCAAAAGCAGGACTTTACTGCGCTTTGACGGCCATGAAAGGACAAACACCCCCTCAGCTCTGATCTTCTGCTCCCTTTACTCAGCTGTGCACGACCGTTAACTATATAAGCAGTCAAAGCTTCATTAAAAATGTCGGGGGGGGGGTTTCAGGTTCGGACCTGTAATTACTGTTAATTCGTCAGGTCGGGTGGGGTTCAGAAATGATGGCTATGGGCTGGGGCCGGGTCGAGTCGGATTTTTTGGGCCTGCATTCAACTTTAATGTGAGCTGAGGAGCAGACAAGTGAACATGCAGGGTGGAGGCCCTCCAGGCCTGCAGACCACCGTCCTACATGATCAAAGTTAGGATAGATGCATCGTGGACATCAAAAATTCTGAATCAATATTCAATATTCAAAAATGTCAATCTGTGCTGCCAACAAGAGCACTGTGTACTAGTCCCAGCTGTAAAAAAACATGTTGAATATAATCCATCAAATATATTATTATTGACAGAAAATCCGACTGCTGTAAATTTCCCAGATTATTCAGGGTGATTTACAAAGACTTTTAGATTTAACTACCAGCACACAGTTAAACCTTTTCAAACAGACAAAGCTGCAGCTCTGTACAGTCTCACTGTGTTCACTTTGAAACAGCTGTTGTTTCACACCAACTTTTCTATGAAGTCGTCTAAAAACAAGTGGTGCTGACAACCAGGGATTATCTATCCAAAAGGTTTAAACCAACAACACCCAGCTTTGAGAAGATGGATTACTTTAAAAATATGGATTTTTTTTTTAAGTGGTCAGATTAAAACAAAATGATGAGCGTCTGTCTTTATAGTTGCAGTTTTAGTTCAACAGAAAACCAGCAGAGGAAGAATCAGAGCTCACCGGCACCCCCAGGACACCCACACAGGTTACTGCTAACATCTTTACTGGTTTATATCCAGTCAACAAGATGAAACTTTTAATACAGTTATGTGAAATCCACAAACCATTCTATAGAAAACATGACTTGTTACAAGTAAATGGACTGTACTTATACAGCGCCTTTCTATCTTATTTCAAGATACTCAAAGCACTTTACACTACAATCTGCCTCATTTACCCATTCACACAGCACTGTTAGAGCTCTACAAAGCTAATTGAACAAATCATTCTAAAGAGACTAACCAGTGCTTTAGATCACATTCATACACCGATGGGACACACATCAGAGGCTATGAGGGGTTCAGTGTCTTGCCCAGGGACATTTCGACATGTGACTGCTGGTGGATTGTATTGGAGGACGACTGCTCTAACCACTCAGCCACAGACGCCCAAGTGTGTACAAACAGCAATCAATCCTATGGAAACTGCATTTATAAAAACTAATCAAATTAAAAACAAACAACGTTTGTTTGTTTTTTTCTTACTGTTGTGCGTTTGTGGATTATTTGCACCAACCACGCTCCATAATTTTCACTGCTTCTGTGCTGTGATTGTGAATGATAAAATGTTCATCAGTTGGTAGAGCTGAGCCCTCTCTCAGCAAGAAGGTTGCCAGTTCAAATCCCGATCCAGGGGCCTTTCTGTGTGGAGTTTGCATGTTCTCTCCGTGCATGCGTGAGTTTTCTCCAGGTACTCCAGTTTCTTCCCACAGACAAAAAACATGCATGTTAGACTGACTGACAACTCTAAATTGTCTCTAGGTGTGAGTGAGAGAGTGAATGGTTGTCTCGTTTGTCTCCAGGTGTCCCTGTGGTGGACTGGAGACCTGTCCAGGTGTAACTGTGGTGGACTGGAGACCTGTCCAGGTGTCCCTGTGGTGGACTGGAGACCTGTCCAGGGTGTCCCCTGATTGATTGATCAATGATTGATTTGATTGATTTATTGATGTGATACACTGATGTGTTCTCGCCGTCTCCCACAACCAACTCCCTGACATGTCTCTGTGTGCAGTTGGGACTGCTGATGACAGCTCAGCAGAGCGGTTGGCGTGGGGGGCGGCGATTCTACAAAATGAAAGTTACAGCTGTAACTACGGTTCTATGAATCCCGGATGACCGCCAGAGGCGGTGCTTAAAGCACTGAATGATCATTCTTGCGCTTGTCAAGTATTTTAATGCCATCATAGTCACGTGTGACGTCCGGGACACAGGTGAGTTTATATATGTGCGTGACAACGGTAGCCCAGTCCCTTAATCTTCTCGCGAAATGCGATGATTCCGAGGGACCGAGCGCTCTAGCGGTCATCCGGGATTCATAGAACCATAGTTACAGCTGTAACTTTTGTTCTATTTCATCCCTACTGACCACCAGAGGTGGTGGTTAAAGCACCGGATGACGATTGCCAACAGAGTCCTGAGGAATCACACCCACAAGAAGAAGTAAAATTTAAGTGTGGCCACATTACTGAGACAAACATGGGTGCTGTGATAGGATCCCTTCCAACAGGTGAAAGGCAGCCAGGTTTACCCTGTAGAACCTAGCAAAGGTATTTGGGGATGACCAGGAGGCTGCTGCACATATCGCCTCCAGAGTGACCCTATTCATAGCAGCCCATGACATGCTAACGCTCCTGGTGGAATGGCATCATACCCCTACAGGTGGCTGGTGGCCCTGCAGAATGTACGCCTGTTCCACTACGTCCACAATCCAGCGCGCAAGGCGCTGCTTGGAAAGGGCCTGCCCTTTGCGAGGCCCTGCATAGCAAATGAACATAGACTGCAGCAGAGAAGCTGTCCCGTCTGACGTATGCTTCCAGTGCCCGAACAGGGCAGAGAGGCTCGTCAGCACCATCTGCATCGAAGCGAGCAAGCTGGAGAGGCAGAGAGTGGGTTACAGATGAGGCCACCTTAGGGAAGAATGCTATGTTAGGCCAGAGTATAACACCCAAACCAGCCGGGTTCCAACGGCAACAGTGCTCGTGAACAGACGGCGCATGTAGTTCACCTACTCGTTTGGCCGAAGCCATGGCCAGGAGAAACGCGGTTTTCTTAGACAAGCACTCGAGGCACACCTCCGTCAAGGGCTCAAACGGAGCAGACCGCAGGGTAGCGAGGACCAGAGAAAGGTCCCACACAGGCATGACGAGGCGCGCATGTGTGTGTGTGTGTGTGTGTGTGTGTGTGGGGGGGGGGGGGGG